CAAATTCGCGCAGCGATGAGCATCAGAATTTGTGAACTCAGGCAAAGTTTTTCTGATTAAGTTTCCAAAATTGTGTACATTTTGTATTTATTCAAAATGTTTGTATGTGAATTTGTATACTGTGTATTTTGATATTGTTTCTACTGCGAATTTGTACAGTGTGTATTTTGTGTATTGTTTCTACTGTGAATTTGTACAGTGTGTATTTTGTGTATTGTTTCTGTGTATGAAATGAAGCTTCTTTGGCCCTTGAACTATTAATTTACTTCATATTGCCCCAAATTAGATTTTCCCTCGCTCAAATTAAATCCTTACTCGGTTTGACCTTAGTTAAGTCTTAACTAAATTTAAATTAAGGCTTAGTATATTGAACAGATTAAAACAAACTAAAACACATTAAAAACATACTCAAAAGCATTTACTCTAATGCATTTGAGGCATGCACCTACAACACACATGGAACACCAAGCCTCAGCGCACATACTGACCTTTTATCAGAACCTTTTCAAGGGCCTGGTGAGCTCTTATTGCTGAACTTAATATGGATCATACTCAGTCTAATATGGAAATACATACTCAGGAAAATTAAGCCAAATTCAACCTATATTAATTCTTAACTCAGAACAAATTTGGATTTAAATTAAGGAGTAATTAATTTTTTTTTCAAGGGATATATCTGTAGATCACTCTCAAATGTCATTTTATAGCCTAAATCACTCAATTTCTAAGATACATACAGCCATTCAAATTACCCTGCAACTCACTCAAACAGTCAAGAGTAATGTCAACAAGAACACAGCAGAAGAACTTTTTTAAAAAAAGGCTACACTGTTAAAAAATGGTTGTACAGAAACAATCAGATGAGTGAAAATTTAGTCGTTCCAAAACATAGAATTTCATCATGAACCATAGCGAAACAAATGTCGTTGAGTCTAGTAAGCGACATTTTGTCGTTGAAGAACAAAATTCTTGTTATCACTCTTTACGATACACTTTGTGTGGAAACAACATCTTTTGCAATTATCTGCTCAATTAAAGCATATTATGAATAATCATCTATTTTGTTCTTCTAAGTCATAAGGAAATTACTATTGTTAAAAAAAAAACATGCAAAATAAATTTAGCGACAAAAGTACTCTATGAATATTGTCGCAGACATTTCAAAATTTCTTTGGGACTTCCAATACTTGTCGTTGATGTGTTATTGTTGGTGCGTTATTACAAGTTAGTCGTTGTGAAATTATCCCTTGGTTCCAATACGACTATGGTATATCAAGCTATTTGTTCCACAACAAATCTTGTCGCTAAGAAAGTTAGCGATAAATGTGTCGCTACGTTACGACAAAATTTTTATCAGTGTAGTGCAAATAAGCAATCTACAGATATATCTGTTGAACAGAGTACTTAAAATACTTCAGCTTTGATGTTAAGTGAGTAAAAACATACAAGGATGATTTGGTTTGACTCATTGAACCATCCTGCAGTGCCTGGGGGTACACTTTAGTCAAAGAGCGAAGACTGAAAATAGGTTTTGGGCTGCGGTATTTAGAATGAGTTTCATCCGTAAAGGTTTTATTTTTCCCAGAGTTAGGGACTATAAAAATACACCGTTTAAGGCTCAGAGAAGTAAAAAAAAATATACGTATTAAATTTTCACAAATTAATCCACTTTTTTAAAATTTTAAAACTTTGTCATAACTTCTGAAAATTGTTTGAAAATTCCGTTCTGGCATGGAAAGGACTCAACTTTTCATGCTCTTTTCAAAAAAGTTAAGACGGGAAAGTTTTGATGAAAAATTAAAAGTGTGGAATTTTTCCTAGGTTTGAAACATAAAAACCCCAAAATCTCGGCTTCTATCAGACATAAAAATCTGAATTTTTTTTTTGAGACTCTCTACTACTAGGGCATCTTAAAATACCATCGGGAGCAGGATCTGAGACATGAAGGTTTTGGGCCTGGTTGCCTTGGGATAGAATTGCTCTACATTTTCTTTGCAAGTAGTGACCAATTATTTCCGTATTTCAGGGATTCCTCATTCCCAAACTCAAAATGGGTCACGACTGTCCAGTGTGCGGCAAGAAGAATAAGTCGGCGTCCAAGCTGACTGTGCACCTGCGGACCCACACGGGGGAGAAGCCTTTTGAGTGCACGGTTTGCAACAAGAAGTTCAGCCAACGTGGCCAGCTCAAACCGCACCTCCGAATCCACACAGGAGAGAAGCTCTTTGAGTGCATGGTTTGCAACAAGAGGTTCAGCGAAGGTTGCGACCTCAGAAAGCATCTCCGGACCCACTTAGGAGACAAGCCCTTTGAGTGCACGGTCTGCAACAAGAGGTTCAGCGAAGGTGGCGACCTCAGAAAGCATCTCCGGACCCACACAGGATACAAGCCCTTTGAGTGCACGGTTTGCAACAAAAAGTTCATCGAAAGTGGCAAGCTCAGAGTGCATCTCCGGACCCACACAGGAGACAAGCCCTTTGAGTGCACGGTCTGCAAAAAGAGGTTCCTCCATGGTGGCAATCTCAGAGTGCATCTCCGGACCCACACAGGGGACAAGCCCTTTGAGTGTACGGTCTGCAATACGAGGTTCCTCCATGGCGGCAATCTCAGAGTGCATCTCCGGACCCACACAGGAGACAAGCCTTTTGAGTGCACGGTTTGCAACAAGAAGTTCAGCCAAGGTGGCAGCCTCAGAAAGCATCTCCGCACTCAGAGAAGGAAATTCTTGTAACAAGTAAAATTTTCTTGTTGCAATCTTTTTTTAGGATCACTTGCGAGCAAGAAAGTTTTTGGATCAGTTCGGATCTTGACTTTTTCTTGCCTGTATGTTTAAAATAGTTTCAGGCGAAGAAAATTTGGTATGAGGAGAGAATAGTTGACTCGGATCAATCGGCGTGATGCGATCAGTTTTGGTGTGACGTCAACAAAATTCGATGAGACAAATTTTTCTCCGTTCAATCCTGCAACCAGCATCAATGCCTGAGAAAATTCGGTTTTCTTGTGCCAAGAACACATTCTTGAAGCTATGGAGCATGCGCACTAGGTGGCGAATGGACCAATGGGGTGGCTGTTGTCCCCCACCACATAACTTCAGAGCAGCTACATTTCGTCATCAACACTCTCGAGCCCACCCTGACAGCTCTGCAACAGTCCAATGGCACAGTGGTAGAGTGTCTGCCTCACAGGATAGTAATCCGGGTTCGGTTCCTAGCCGATGCGTCACCTGTTTTCCCAGGCCAACCTGACCGTTCGCATGCCGGGGACTTTAGATGGATAGCAAAGGGGCGGGCTGTTGTTTTTGGTCGTTTTCAGCTTTACATGTTGAGCTCTGCGTAATAAGCGTGCTAACTTGTTTGAAAAAAAAGAGACGAAAAAGAAAAAAACAGATGGGATTTGAACCGAAGTGCGTAGACTACGGGAGACGCCCCTTGACCACTGCGCTACCACAGCGCTGCGTCTGAGCACGGCGATAGATTCTAATGACGTATTCAATTGGAGTTGAAAAAAAATGACCGCAAAGCCGGGATTTGAAGCTGGTCAACGGATCTGAGGCTGGGGTGGGACCTAAAGTTCAAACAAAAATATCGAAGTGGACGGGTTTTGAACCGCAGTCCACCGAAGTGCCAGACGGGACCGTTACCACTACACTACTGCCGTCTGTTAAACCGGAGCTTCATCAGCTGATCTCAGTTTCCGCGTTCGGTCCTCTCTTCAATTTTTCTGAGCGCTCGAGCAGGCGTCGAAGTGTATAGCGTTTATCGAGGCACACTGAACAGAGCGACACATTGGCGCTGTGGCTTGCGAGCTGGCAATCTAGTTCAAAAGCGGGTGTTCGATGCTCGTCGCCTCCTTCACTTTTGAAGTCGAACATGAAATACAGGCCGAAAATTGAGAATAACACGTTCTCATAATCGATCTAAACCATGCTCGAAGTGAGAAAATTAGGATTGAATGGAGTAAATTATGATCAAAACATTTCATTAGAAAATCCGGGATTGCCACAAGAATTCCTTCCTCTGGGTGCGGGCCCACACAGAAGACAAGCGCTTTGAGTGCGCGGTTTGCAGCAAGGGGTTTCCCGGGAAAATTTTCTCATCTGAAAACGCACCTGCAAACCCAACTGAAGGACCGATTTGAACATCCAGTTGGCTAATGGAAGTTAAGACAAGATGGCAGCAGTCTAAACTGCGCACTTCGTTGAGGAAAACCGGCAGGCTGTTTTTTTCCGGAAGACGATTACTAAGGGGCAGGCCTAAGTGTACCGGTTGAGACTGTTCGCGAGGCGCATAACTGAGATTTTAGTCCGAATTTGTTTAATGTTAGGAAAACTATCCGTGTCTCAATATTTGTCATTTACAATCTTATAGTTTTTTTCTCATTGTTAGATTTTAAGTGGGAAGTCATTTAAAACAATAGGACGGGCTCTGGAAGTCTAAGGCTCTCATTTAAAAATGATTTTTTTTCCGATTCGAATACATGAAAATATGTGAATTTGACTTTCCGTCTCTGAAATATGACTCGTTTGTTTTAAGGACGCTTCCGGTCTTTGGAAGATGGCATGGATTGATTGTTTTGGTCAACGATTCATAAGTTTTCTCTAAATTTGACTCTTTTGCACGTTTAATAATTTTACCTGTATGCACCACTGTTTTTCCCTCCATATTAAATTTAAAAAGTATTATTGACGTGTCCTTTTTTTAGTTAAACTACTGTTATATCTTCAGAAACCCCATTTCTACACCGTCCTAAAAACAAACTCAAGAAGCCGAAAAAGGGGTATTGCTGATCCACCAAAATTTATTTGACCAAAATTAAGTTCAAAGTACGTTTGAAGAGTTTAGGCCCAAATTTGGGGACAAGCCCAAGGAGCAAGCCTCCGAGTTATTTCGTTTGGTTTTCTTGGGCTCTCGGAGTAAAGAGGACCGTAGCGCAAAACAACCCTTTTTAGATCATTTTTTGTATTTTTCGGAAATTTGCTTTTTTTTACTGTAAAATTTTAAAATTTTTGGCGGGTGGCACATCGACCACATTGGTACCACTGCCATTGGTTGGTAGCCCCCGCTGAGCCACCCTCCTATCAAATATCCAGTCAAATAAGTACGGATATGAGGCACGATTTAAAGCCCTGCAAAATAACATGGTGTCACTGCGCGCACGATTTTAGTGAAATTTTTAACTTTTTTTCGAATCACACTAAAATTTTCGTCTTGATACGCACACATACAGCACTTATCTGTCTACGAAGTACAACATACTCGTCGTACTCAGAACGGACAGGTCATCTGAACGGCCAAATGCATCTGAAAGCATAAAATTGCCCACAAAATGGATCTCTGGCTTCATATTTTGCTTGAGACGGCTCAAGGTACTTGATCTCAGAATTACTATCGTCGTTTGATTGCAGTTGGAAGAAGTTGTAACAGAAATGTCAACACGAAATTTTATGAGGAATTTTGTCCTAAACATCACTTTGTTTTGTGCGAATAAATTTTTTCGTACAAATTTCGTGCGAAGAAAAAGCACAAAATTTTTCTATTTCAGTGCAAAGTAGCATACAATTGTGTACCACTAATTCAGTTGCACAAAAACTGTGCTGTCTAGTACAACATTTGTACGAAAACATTTACGGCGCAGATATCATCCCTGACCTTGATGCGACATAATTATGTCAAATCTGTTGAAATTTTTAAAAATTTCCCCGTTCAGTTGTCATCTGCCTGCACGGGTTTAAAATAAAGCGTAGTATGACGCCTTCCCTGAAGCGCGCTGTCTGTATACCACAAACATAACTGTCTACTTAGTACACACTTTCAAACTCATACTTGGCCAACCACGCACTTACAAACGCGTGCTTGGCAAGTGCACTCTCACCAACGCATGCATGGCGACGTATTACTCCATGCAAAGCAAAGGGATTTGTAAAGGTCTCCATGCCAAGCAGCCAAGTATGTACTTGACCAAGAATGCATTGGTAAGTGTGAACTTGCAAGCATGCATTTTTAACTATGTACTAAGTAGACAGTTAGGTTGCTAGTGTACGCCGTTCTTGAAGCGTACAAGAGCTCATTCGCTTCTTTCCTCCTATATAAATGCACGGGGGGATAATCTTGAAGCGTAGTTGGGCGCTTGAATGACGCGTTTATTACGCTGTAGTCTTGCCAGAGGGAAACCCTAGAATCAAATATTCACTGCCCAAAACGTCTGACATCTCATCACAACTGCAGTAGGCGGTCGTTTCCGGTTATTTCTGTCTTCTGATTTTGTTCTTCACACCTCAGGTCCAAGACACCTCTGAACGTCCAATCTGCCGGTCCGTGATCCAGCATTGAAGCGGAACCGGAAACCGGAAGTGGAGGCTGCGAGTCACCAGGTCAGCCCAAGCCGAGCCAGTCCGACATCGGCGCGACCGGACCATCATTCGTAACTTTCGGTTTTGATCCTCCAGCCTTCGACCTCCAACATTGGCAACGCAGTGCCGGAGCACCGTCCGCAGTCCGACGTGGACCGAGTCTCCAACTGCTTCCGCCAAGGCGTGGTCTGCTGCGACCCACCGTCGTTTCTCGCAGTGAGAGGGATCCGGTCGTTCAACCAGTGTGTCGGCGATCTTGACGAAAACAGACCTGAGGGGTAAGTGACACCGCATCTACAGTTTGCTTCTGTTCTCATGGTCTGCTGTTTGAATCGAATAGAATGCTCTGCACAAGCTCAAAACGTAACAAGGTGTTTCGAGCATATGTAGGGTACAAATGATTTCCATTGTTAGACGAAAGTCACAAAAAAGTACGTGAGAAAATCTGGTCAAAAACTTGTCTGAACCTTCCGTACGTACCTGCCAAATACGGAACATCTGTCCTTTTTTCCATGACCGTTTTCATGCGTATGCAGCAAGTTTACTCTCAGGCTCATATTGACTTTTTTCTCTCCATGATTGACTTTTATTCTTTGCTTCCGTAGTTTTTGAAGCAGCAATAATATGTAGTATTTCCTGTACAATATTGTCCGCTACAAAGTCTAAACTGTCATCAACTTCAGACTTTTTTTGAAAGCCAATACACTCTACAAAAAATGTCCTGTCAACGCCATTAATTTATTACCATGTTTGCTGTTATGCAATTCACGGCGTTTGTTGTTAACTAGTTCACGGCATTCACTGTAATCTCGGTTACAGTGTTCACTGTGATCTGGCCACAGTAAACGCCGTGAATTGGAGCCTGATTTGCAGTACTTTGGTGCTCAGCGGCGTCAAACTCACAGTGTTTACTGGGGACCAGATCACAGTGAACACTGTAACCGAGATCACAGTGAATGCCGTGAACTAGTTCACAGCTAACGCTGTGAATTGACCTACAGTGAAAACTGGTTATAAATTAACGGCATTTACAGGACATTTTTGGTAGAGTGTAGGGTACTACGGAGGAAATCCAGACCGGAAGTCACCGACAGAACGAGAAACAAACTAGCGTCGCGAGGCCGCGCCGAGCGGTGTTCGGGGCTGGGACCCAAGGAGAACAGAAAAGTCATAATGATATCATATTGCTATCTTATGCAGGTCACGACACAACCAGTCAAAATGACATCAAAATGGACCAGATTTTGATGTTCCAGTTATATCATTTGGATGTCATTTTGACTTTCCCCCCTTAAACAATTTGAGATGTCAGTTGGATATCACTTTGACATCATGTTAATTTTTCCATTCGAGGGCGCCTCTCCTCACGATTAAAAACTAATTTTAAAAGAGCTTGTGCAGGAATGCAAGGGAATAAAATTCTAAAGTAATTTCAAAAGAAACAGTCTTTATTACACTTCTTTACTTAAGAACTTAAACAGCTCCAGGATCATTCATTATGATAACAATAATAAACATTTGAGAAGCGCAAATTTGTGCTTAAACAGTTTTCTTTAATAAACTAGCAAAATAACTTGCCTGGAAGAAAAAACCTAACGAAATGTAAACCTTAAATGATATAGACATCTAGGATACTAGAAGAAAACAGTCACTCTGTTGCTCATAGCTGCTTAAACAAAAAAGAACAAAAACCTAATATCACAGCTCGTCTAGGAACATTGAATGTAAATTGATGTATACCATCACAAACTAATAATAATAATCATTAACATACATGTTATGAAAAATTGAGATCACCCAAAAGTCAACAAAAAAAACTCATGTCACAGCTCCAGGAACACTGAATTGATGTGTATCATCATAATCACAATAAAACATTGTGCTCAAAAAAAAAAAAATCTAATATAAAATTTTTAAGACTTGGAGCATACAAATAAAGCAAAATAAAAACTAACAAAAATTAGGAATCAGTCATTCTGTTGCTTCATCACTGCTGTCGCTACTACTGCTCTCAACTTTTCTTTGAGAACTAGTGTTGAACCAACGCTGAATTTGGCCAGTTGCCATGATCAGGTTGGATTTGCTGAAGGTTTTCTTCAGAATACCTGACAATGAGAAAAAGTTATTTGTTATTGCCATGTGCACAACTTAATTGGTATATTGGCAAAGTCCCCAGAATACACATTTTCTTCATGCAAGGGTCTGTGGCCCTGCTAATGTTTAGCAGTAAATTCTACCCCCACAAAATGAGTCACTGGCAGACATTAGGGGCACACAGACTCTGACATTATTAATTTTGCACTAACGCTAAAGATAATTGTGTGCTATCTGGAAGTGGAATAAAGGCGATTACTTACAAAGCATCAGCTTGCAAATTTTAGTGGGCTTCAGAGCTATTTTTGTCTCTTTTGTTCCTTCCCAGCTGATTGTTCGGGCAAGCTTATTGGTGAAAAGCGTCTGAAGAAGCCATCGGGTAGCCTTTGTCTCTTCTGATGCATGGGTTGATACTTCAAGGCGCCCATAGTAATACAGCATCTTAAGAAAATTAAAGATTAGATTTTAACATCAATGAACTTTCATGCTTAAGTTTAAACAGAGCTTTCACTTACCAGCTTAGTAAACTCTGTATCATTTGCAGCTATCTTTTCCAGATCGTTAAAAGCTGATTCATTCTTCAAGGGAGTTTTAGGCATATTGGAGGGCAAAGAAACAAGGTCTTCCTCAGGAAAAACATGTTGCATTATCCTGTGAATGTTGACCGTGAGTAATTCAAAACCCTTCACAAGAGTCTCCAAAGTCTCATGCATGGCCCTGATTTCAGCTAGGACAAAAGAACAAATCACTGTTTTACAAAACAGAGTAAAAATATTTCATTGATCAATCTTGTTGTTACACCTCACAACTTACTCTTATTTTTAGACTTGGTTTTGCGAGAAGAATGTTCATGATTTTCAGACAAATTACTTCCAAAATTGGCTGAAAAGAAAACGATACATGATTAAGTATAAGCATGCAAAAAATATGTTTGAAACAGTAAGAGAAAAATTCTTTGATGGCAGAAAAGTTTCAATATTTTGAAAATAACATACCATCTTTTGGTGATGATGCTTGTATAGGGGTGCTGACACTTTTGACAGAGACAGTTTTGTTGCTGCTTGATGTCTGTTGAACAATCACGGAGGGAGACTCTTTATCTGTTATTGTAAGGTTGCGGTTACTTCTGTCAGATCCAGTTTTAATGCTGCTTGATGTATCTCGTAAAAAAGTCACAGAAGGCCCTTTGCCAGAACCAGAGTTGCTGCTGCTTGCTGTTATTGGTATGGGCCCTTTGACAAAGGAGAGCACACCACCACCTTTAGATAGATAGAAATTTAGTTTAACATTAGATACACATTATTATTATTCCAAAAATTAATGAGAAAAATGACCCTAGACAAATCAACCTGTAAATACTCTAATAGCACAAGCATGCCACAATGAGGCCAGAACTGAATGTTTCTAAAGGTAATTTTTTCAATGGCAACATACTACTAAATTACTACTAACCAGCATTAGATGTTGTAACTGGTGGCTCAGTTGAGGGGCTAATGGACAGATTCAACACACTGCCAGATTGATGAGTACTGTCAGCACCTACAAACAAAACCCAAAGAGACACTGAAAACCATTTTGATTCCGCACATAAGCAAATAAAATTATTATTACAATAGTTTGAACTAAAAAGTAGGAAAATTACCTTTGTCATCCTCCAAAATTACTTCTTTATTTATTATGTCCGCAATCTGTGACTGCTTTGAGGATGTTTTAGAAATCATTTCATCAACCTTCTTCATTATATTTTCATCATCAGAAAGATCACTGCTATCCCCCGGGGTGTCACATCTCTTTTCCTTCTTGCGTCCCATTTTCTGTTTCTTTGATGGGCGGGGCTGTTGCACCTCCTCATCAGAAGAGTGTTCAGAACAAAATCTACCAGGTTTACGCCTCTTGCGGGGTTGATTCAGACCACTTGAGGCAGAGCCTACAGTCTCATCTTGGTTTGTCTGCCTCTGAGCTGCAGTTCGAGCCTTGTTGTAAGTGGCTGAAACAAAATTCATTTACAAAAAATACAATATTAGGGCAAACATATAATCCGTTTTAAATTGTAACAAAAGGCAACAAATAAATTGAAAATAAACTCAATTTTTAAAAGTTAAACTTACCATAACTGTGACGGAATCTTACAGGGAATTTATCCCAAGTCTTGTCCGGCTTTGAAAGGCTCATTATTAGTCGGGGAATGGCTGCCTTCTTCTCCTTGGGTGGCCAGTAGACTTGAGTATTTTCTTCCAAGAGCCAGGAAGATGGAACAGCCTCACTCTCCTCTACATCTGAATCATCATCCTCTTGCGGAATGAATGTCACAACTGAATACTGTAACAGAAAAATAAATAAATTGAGTTTTATGAAAATGCAATCAGAGCAGAAACAAAGGCAAGAGTATGACCTTGTATGAAGGAGAGGGATAGACACATATCCATCTCCATGGGGCAGGAGTACACATTTTGAGGCATATTCTGACAATTTCCATCGAACCAAAGTAGTATTTGTTAATGAGAGTTCATGGATGCCCAAAAGAGAGGAACGACATGGAAAATTAAAAGCGTCTCCAACCACAGAAAATTTTTGTCCAATTAGAGCAACTTGGCCTTGAGCGTTTCGGATGATATTTTTCAGCTTCACAATGTCTCCTTTTGTTGTCTTGAAACAGGAGTTGGCTTCATCTACTCTTAAAGTTGTACTCTTTTTACCTCCAAAGGTAATAGCATGGTACTGATCATAATTAGCGTTATCATGACTATGCTGGTGAGATAAAATTATTTCATCATCAAGCAATGGATTCTCTATGATGTTGGTCATCTGTCCCTTTCTTTCTTTATCTCGATTGGCAAGCTGCTGAAGGGGCTTGTAGGTAGACCGAAGGGCATCTTTGATAACTGCCATAAATGTCTCATATTTGAATGCACTGAAGCTGTCTAAAACATCGTCATTCAATGTGCATTCTTCACATAAATGGATGAGATTATGTACATTGTATACCACAAAATGTCTTCCAAGCACTTTAGATGAATGCCTCACAAATCTTATAAGGCAGTACCTTGCTACATCAATAAATTTATTCCATGAAACAGGGCTGCTTAGAATTGTTATGCCAGTGTACAGGAGAAGATAACACTTCCACACATCAATTGGCAGCAAGTCTCTAAAAACTTCTAGGCCATCATAAAGTAAAAGCCGTCTCCACTCAGTGGCTCGGTACTTGGCAATGTAGTCCAAGTTTCTTGGCCTTCGGTTAAAATCTTGTGGAATATGAGGTTTCATTGCATCAATTCTAGCAGAAATGACATTAATTGTTGCCTCAGATAAAATTCCACGGCGCTTGGGGTTTCCAACAAGAAACCGAACAAACCTTTTCCATGCCCCAATATAAACCAAGTGTAGAGAATCAAGCCGAAACTGGGACACCATGCCAGTGCCTATTGCTTCCAAAGGACACTCTCCATTGTGGTGTAGAGGATTTGATCGATTTCGGAAAGTTTCATCCGTTCGCAAGGGTGCTTCAAGGTCTTCAAAAATTTCTCTTCTTAGAAAGTTAACTCCTTCCACCTCACACTTTTCACACCCAAAGGTACCATTAGTGCTTACAATACACTTAATAAAGGCTCTTGCTTGGGCATCAAGAATATAATTCCTTATCTTCACAGGAAACTCTCTGTCGCCAATGAGGATGCCAGAGGTTTGCAACTGGTCAACTTCAGCAGTGAATTTCTCTAGATACAAATCTGCACTTGGTGGCTTACCTCCTCCATGGTACACAGCAACTATAAAAACTTTATCGTCTGGAAAACCAACAAAGGAACCCAAGATAGGCCACATGCTACAGTCTATGCCAGTTTTCTGGATTTCCAAACCATCCATATTAATATCAATGACAATCTCTTCGAAGGGGGCAAGTGCTTCAGGTGTGAGTCTCTCTAGGATATTTTGTTTAATGCCCTTGTACCAAAACAAACCATCACCCATCGCTTCTACGGGAACTTTTCGATGAGGTCTCAGAAGAGTTTTGTAGCTTTTAGGAAGCTGTGGAAATCTAGGCCGAAGGATTGCAAGTAGCTTGTCTATTTTTTTGGTAGACACACCTCGCATGGCCCACTCTCTCAATTCAGCCACTATTTCATCGTCACCATGAACTTCATTGACATTTTCCTCTACTATGTGAAACCGATCATCTTCACCACCATCGTCTTCGTTCCTTTCAGTCTCCACATCTATCTGCTCGTTGCCATTGTTATCGTTGTCCAGAGGAAGCTCACCATTTTCACCATTCCCACAGTTTTCACCATCATCTTCATTCCCTTCAGCCCCTAAATTCAGCTCAACGCCGTTGTTTTCATTGTCCTCAGCAAGCACACCATTATCAATAGTCTCATTATAATTAATATCCTCATATAGTTCACCACTTGAATTGTCATTTTCATCGATGGATTCAGCAGCAGACTCGTCACTTTCATCCACACCTTCTGCTTCATCGACTCTTAGTGACAGCTCAGCAGAACGCATGCGTTTGTGAACTTGACGATCAAGCCATCTTGAGTGGCGCTTTTTGGCCTACAAACAAGAGAGATCGTTTTTAATAAAGAAATGAAAAAAAAAAACTTGTTTGTTGGCCATCAAAGTAGAATGCAAAGCTGTCTTGAACGTCTAAAATAAACATTCATGGTGTGACTTGACGAAAGTGACAAGGCTACCTTTTGGACCAACAATAAAAATGATAATTCATGTTCGGTACACAACGATTCAAATTTCAATGAGACTATCTGTCAAATGCTCGGATACACTAAAAATGAAACCGGCATAACCCTACTTGTGGCATAACGTCTTGGTTGCAAGGGTTGCTACAGTCATATGTCGCTAAAGTTGGGTTTGGCCCAGCGCTATACCCTTAAATGGGCTTGCGACTGGCCCTTTGAACCTATTGCGTCTAAAATACTTACCGGGCGATCAGCCATTTCGACCTTTGACCATGTGCTGCTACAAGTTGATTCTTGTCATCTTGACCGGAACCGGAGTGTTGTTGTTTTTGTTATAACCAATCCGAGTGACTACGCAGTTCTTGCTAGCTTCTGTTTTTATTTGCTGAAATTGAAAAACCCTCAAACCCTCCAAACAAAGAACAAAAAAAATAATTTAAAAATAATAATTTTAAATATGTATGTGGTTTTCCTTTAAAAACATCAAGTAATAGTGTTTGTTGTGTTTCGTATGGTTTGGTACTTTAAGAAGGAAAAGGCGCCAAAGTTCAAACGTGTCGGATCTTCGAGTAGGTTTGATATCAAGATGACGTCACATTGGCATTGGGGCGAACTTATCGGATTTTAGCCAATGACAGGCAGAACTTGCAAAGTTTAGTGGTACTTCAATACAGTTCGATCCTAGCAAGATAATACTATGAGACTTGAGCGAAGTCTATCTTTGGTCAAAACAAGGTCACCGTCGCGTCGGTGACCTATCCAGCGTGCTCGTGACGTCAACATGACATTATTGTGACTTTTCTGTTCTCCTTGGGGATGGGCAGAGTGGGGTTAGGTTGCGCGCGCCGCCTGAAACCCCACTCCGACAATTTCGACCTTCCGACCCCCACCACCGCTCAGCACGGCCGCGCGACGCTCTTTTGTTTCTCCCGTCTCGTCCTGTTCGCTCGCTGACTTCCGTTTGATGTTTTCTCCGAAGTACCCTACTGCGTACTGACTGACTCTTTGTCAATAGCTAACTGACTTTTAGTCAACATAACGATCAAATTCTTGCATAGATATTGAGGAAATAGTACTTTTCATTGACCTGTAAAATACTCTTCAACAAACGATAAAAAGTCAATAACAGTACGAGAGTGAAGGACTTTGCGTATTTTGACTAAGTCATTGTTATCCCAAGTTTTCTAACGAACTCAGTTCAAATGTCACAAATGCTTTAAGTAGCCTTTTGGTCACTGCCTGTTGTGTGACACATATCACATCAGATAAAGTAAAATGAAGCCAGCATGCCGAGTGCAGTCCAGGCCTCGTTATACTTTTTACCGCAGTAATCGTCACTATCGTTCCCGTATGGAATTGGAAACCTGGAAACCGTCGTTGAGCGTTCTTACTCTCGTCTTCCCGGGACGAGAGCTTAACGAACAGAAGACGACTGTACGCAGAGTGTAGGAAGACGTCCCAAAGACGAGATCTGCCTCCTTGGCGCCATCTTCCCCTCGTCTGCCAGCTGATCTTCCCGTGCTCTCGTGGTCGTCTGGATTTGGTGCCTTTCCGTGAAGTTCTTCACGTCTTCTATGAACGACAACACTACATACGCACTCGGTTCAAAGATTCGTCTGCGTAGGAGGGACGTAACAATATGTACTTGAGCCGTAACCGCGGTCACAGAAATCATCGCGACGTAATGGAATTTGGAGATGTTGATTAGAAGACGTGAAGAACTTCACAGTGCGGGCGACACATGTTCTTTCCACCCAGCCGGTCGAATCGGATACACTACCGCTCCGCTCGGTCTGCTCTTCAGCCATGTCGCTCTGGCCCAGCGGCATGGGGCACCGGTTTCCTGCGGACAGTCTGTGTTCGATACGCAGTGTCCGCCGCTCGAGTGTTTGTTTTTATGTAGGTGCCTGAATCTCGTCTGGATCTGGTCTGGAAAGGCACCAAATCCAGACGACCACGAGAGCACGGGAAGATCAGCTGGCAGACGAGGGGAAGATGGCGCCAAGGACGCAGATCTCGTCTTTGGGACGTCTTCCTACACTCTGGGTACAGTCGTCTTCTGTTCGTTAAGCTCTCGTCCCGGGAAGACGAGAGTAAGAACGCTCAACGACGGTTTCCAGGTTTCCAATTCCATACGGGTTGTACCACTCACACATTTTCTTGCGGTGTTGTATACACTCTCAGACTCGTATGGACTTTTTTCTCTCCATTATTGACATTTTGTCCTTTGCTTACGTAGTTTTTTAAGCAGCAATATGTAGTATTTCCTTTGTAACCATGTACAATATTGTTCACTATAAAGACTAAATTCCCAATTGTCATAAATTATTGACTATTTTTTAAGTCAATTGCGTATTGACTCTTTGTCAATAGCAAATTGACTTTATGTCAATATAACGAACAAAATCCTACATAAATATTGAGGAAATAGTACTTTTTATTGCTGTGTAAAATACTCTTTAACAAAGGACAAAAAGTCAATAACAGTCTGAGAGTGTACACACTTACAAATGCATGCGTGGCCAAGTACGCACTTGCAAGCATGCATTTGTAAGTGTGTACTTGGCCAAGCATGCGTTTGTAAGTGTGTACTTGCAAGCATGCATTTATAAGTGTGTGCTTAGTAGACAGTTAGGTTTGCAGTGTATGTAACGAACAAAATCTGACGTAAAATACTGTGTAAAATACTCATTCAAAAAAGATAAAAAGTCAATAACAGTCAAAGAGCGTGCGTTAGACGAACCGTGCCCATCGATTTCTAGTGCATGCAAGTCCAGGACACTCATTGTCTTCTGTTAGCTCTATTTTCTTTGTTAGAAGTGACCAATTATTTCTGTATTTCAGGGATTCCTCATTCCCAAACTCAAAATGGGTCACGACTGTCCAGTTTGCGGCAAAAAGAATGAGTTCGCGTCCAAGCTGGTTGTGCACCTGCGGACCCACACGGGGGAGAAGCCTTTTGAGTGCAGGGTTTGCAACAAGAAGTTCAGCCAACGTAGCCAGCTCAAACCGCACCTCCGAATCCACACAGGAGAGAAGCCCTTCGAGTGCAAGGTTTGCAACAAGAAGTTCACGGAAAGTGCCAGCCTCAGAGTGCATCTCCGGACCCACACTGGGGACAAGCCCTTTGAGTGCACGGTTTGCAACAAGAAGTTCATCCGTGGTGGCGACCTTAGAGTGCATCTCCGGACCCACACTGGGGACAAGCCCTTTAAGTGCACGGTTTGCTACAAGAAGTTCGCCGAAAGTGGCAGCCTCAGAGTGCATCTGCGGATCCACACAGGAGACAAGCCCTTTGAGTGCACGGTCTGCAACAAGAAGTTCACCATAAGTGGCAGCCTCAGAAAGCATCTCCTGACTCACACAGGAGAAAGGCCCTTTAAGTGCACGGTTTGCAACAAGAAGTTCATCCAAGGTAGCGAACTCAGAGAGCATCTCCGGACCCACACAGGAGACAAGCCCTTTGAGTGCACGGTCTGCAACAAGAAGTTCACCAGAAGTGGCAGCCTAAGAATGCATCTCCGGACCCACACAGGAGACAAGCCCTTCGAGTGCACGGTTTGCAGCAAGAAGTTCACCGAAAGTGGCCATCTCAGAAAGCATCTCCGGATCCACACAGGAGACAAGCCCTTTGAGTGCACGGTTTGCAGCAAGAGGTTCTGCCAAAACTCTCATCTGAAAAAGCATCTGCGAACCCACACTGGAGGACACGATTTGAACATCCAGTTGGCAAATGGGAGTTTAGTCATCTTGCAAGATGACAGCAGTCTCAACTGCGCATTCTCGTTGAGGAAAAACGGTAGGCTGAATTTTTCGGAAGACGATTACTTAAGCGGCAGGCGTAAGTGTACCGGTTGAGACTGTTCGCGAGGCGCATAATTAAGATACTTAGTCCGAATTTGTTTAATGTAAGGAAAACTATCCGTGTCTCAATCTCTTGTCATTTACAAGCTTATAGTTTTTTTTCATTGTTAGATGTAAAATGGGAAGTCATTTTGAACAATTGGACTGGGCTCTGGAAGTCTTAAGCCCTAATTTGAAAATGATTTTATTTCCGATTCGAATACATGACAATATGTGAATTTGACTTTCCGTCTCTGAAATATGACTCGTTTGTTTTAAGGACGCTTCCGTTGATCTTTGGAAGATGGCATGGATTGATTGATTCTGGTCAACGATTCATAAGTTTTCTCTCAATTTGACTCTGTTGCACGTTTAATGATGTTACTTGTATGCACTACTGTTTTTGCCTCTATATTGAATAAAAAAGTATTATTGACGTGTCCACTTTTTAGTTAAAGCTACTGTTATATCTTCAGAGCAAGCCTATTTCTACACCGCCCCAAAAAAAAAACTCAAGAAGCCGATAAAAGGGTTTTGCTGATCCGTTATGAATTATTTGACCAAAATTAAGTTCAAAGTATCGTTTGAAGAGTTTAGGTCCAATAAGGACAAGCCCAAGGAGCAAGCCTCCGAGTTATTTCGTTTGGTTTTCTTGGGCTCTTTGAGTAAAGAGGACCGTAGCGCAAAACAAACCATTTTAGATTATTTTTGTATTTCCCGGAAATTTGCTTTTCATTACTGTCAAATTAAAATTTTGGCGGGTGGCACATCGACCACATTGGTACCACTGCCATTGGTTGGTAGCCACCGCTGAGCCACCCTCCTATCAAATATCACATCAAATAAGTGCGGTTATGAGGCACGATTTAAAGCCCTGCAAAATAACATGGTGTCGCTGCGCGCACGATTTGAGTCAAATTTTTAACTTCTTTTCGAATCACACTAAAAATTTCGTCTTGATACGCACACATACAGCACTTATCTGTGTACGAAGTACACACATACTCGTCTGTACTCAGAACGGACAGGTCATCTGAACGGCCAAATGCATCTGAAAGCATAAAATTGCCCACGAAATGGATCTCTGGCTTCATATTTTGCTACGGCTCAAGGTACTTGATCTCAGTAGTACTATCGTCGTTTGATTGCAGTTGGAAGAAGTTGTAGCAGAAATGTCAACACGAAATGTTATGAGGAATTTTGTCCTCAACATCACATTGTTTTGTGCGAATGAATTTTTCGTCCAAATTTCGTGCGAAGAACAGCGCACAATTTTCTATTTTAGTGCAAAGTAGCATACAATTGTGTACCACTAATTCAGTTGCACAAAAACTGTGTTGTCTAGTACAACATTTGCACGAAAACATTTACGGCGCAGATATCATCCCTGACCTTGATTCGACATAATTATGTCAAATCTGTTGAACTTTTAAAATTCCACGTTCAGTTGTCATCTGCCTGCACAGGTTAAAGTAAAGCGTAGTATGACGCCTTCCGTGAAGCGCACAGTCTGTATACCACAAACATAACTGTCTACTTAGTACACACTTACAAACTCATACTTGGCCAACCACGCACTTACAAACGCGTGCTTGGCAAGTGCACTCTCACCAGCGCATGCATGGCGACGTATTACTCCTTGCAAAACAAAGGCATTTGTAAGTGTCTCCTTGCCAAGCAGCCAAGTGTGTACTTGACCAAGTATGCATTAGTAAGTGTGTACTTGCAAGCATGCATTTTTAACTATGTACTAAGTAGACAGTTAGGTTGCTAGTGTCCGCCCTTCTTGAAGCGTGCAAGAGCTCAAGAGCTCATCCGCTTCTTTCCTCCTATCTAAATGCAAATCTTGAAGCGTAGTTGTGCGCTTGAATGACGCGTGCAACTACGCTGTAGTATTACCAGAGGGAAACCCTAGAATCAAAAATATTCACTGCCGAAAACGTCTGACATCTCATCACAACTACAGTAGGCGGTCGTTTCCGGTTATTTCTGTCTGCTGATTTTGTTCTTCACACTTCAGGTCCAAGACGCCTCCGAATATCCAATCTGCCGGTCCGCGATCCAGCATTGAAGCGGAACCGGAAACCGGAAGTGGAAGCTGCGAGTCACCAGGTGAGCCCAAGCCAAGCCAGTCCGAGATCGGCGCGACCGGACCATCATTCGTAACTTCCGGTTTTGATCCTCCAGCCTTCGACCTCCAACATTGACAACGCAGTGCCGGAGCACCGTTCGCAGTCTGACGTGGCCCGAGTTTGGGGCCGGTCCCGCCGAGGCGTGGTCTGCTGCAACCCACCGTCGTTTCTCGCAGTGAGAGGGATCCCGTCGTTCAGGCGGTGTGTCGGCGATCTTCACCAAAACAGAACTGACAAGTAAGTGACACCGCATCAACAGTTTGGTTCTGTTTTCACGGTCTGCTGTTAGAATCGATTAGAATGTTTGGCACGCACTCCTAACGTTTCAAGGTGTTTCGAGGTTATGTAGGGTACAACTAATTTTTATTGTAAGGCCAGAGTCCCGAAAAAGTACGTAACAAAATCTGGTCTAAAGTTTGTCTCAACCTTCCGTACCTGCCAAATACGGAACATCTCTCCTCACTGTTAAAAAAATTCTGAAAATTCAGACCAATTTTGTCAGACTTAGCGGTCTGAATCTGTAAAACAGACTTAATTCTGAAAAATCAGAGTTTTTGTCTTAGTTCTTAAACGCTTTGTCTGAAAGCTTGGTTCAGACTCGAAGTGTCTTAATATTTGTACTCATTCTCAAAATTCATATGAACTTGCGTCAGACTTCTCACACCTCAAGAGTCTGAATTTCGGATTCAGACTACTTTCTGAAATATGTTCAAACATAAGAGAAAATTGGACAACTTTCTTCCAACCTAACATTGGGTTAACTCACAATCAGTCTTACATTCAATTTAATCCGACTCCGTTTCGGGGACTTCAGACAAAACGAAAGCATTTTTCTCTCCGCCAGGTGGCGCCAGTGTCGGTAAAGAGCCTGCTGTTGTTAAAAACGTGTTTTTTCTGTTAAATTTTTCATATTTTTAACCCGAAATGGCTATCACCCTATTGGCTATGACGAAACACACGCTCCCATACCAAATTTATATCTGTAGCAAACGCGTGAGTTTAACAATTGACATTTGAAGTTACCTCTCGCGGGTGGCTCCGTGCCGTCGTTTCCTTGGGTGCGTCAGGCCAGCTCCAGATGAGTGCAGGGAAGTAAAGAGTCCAGCTTCGGGGACACTTTCCCACACTCAATTTTTTTGCCTAGACGGTCCCTTGCAATACGTCTCTCCTTTGAGGTTCGGATGCAAACATTATCATTTCACCGAGTTACGGGAAAATTTCCTGCTTCCACTTTCAGACAAAACAATCTAATAATTGAGACATTTTGTCTGAATTTTTCAGACTACGACCTGCCTGAAAGGTTAAGACTTGTGTAAGTCTGAAAATTTCAGACCAGGATTTAGTCTGAATTTTCAGTAGGATGTTCTGCATATTTACTTCAGTCAAAAAAGTCTGAATTTTCAGCAAAAATTTTTAACAGTGCTTCTTTCCGGAACCGCACCCTCAGATTCTTATGATGAAAGGGTCATCGTAACAAACGTACTACAACAATATCTTGCGTAATACGATGAAAGCGTACATACTTTACACTCTCAGAGCCATACTGACTTTTTGTTCATAGCAGCAGCAACATTTCCTCAGTAGCATATGAATTACGCAACAATAATACTTAAAAATTTGTCCATATGCCACGAATAAAAAGTCCATTGTATATGTACAATTCCATAGACAATCTTTTTAGTACATTAGTAACAAATTTGTTCATAAAATTGTTGATAAATTTGTTGAAAAAAATTTACCAGAATAATCACTGGCAAAACTTTTGTCGTTACTATACGACACTTTCAATGCTAATTTTTTCAGCGACAAGATTTATTTTGGAACGGATAGCTTGTTGGACCACTTGTTAGTCAGTGACAAGTATTGCAAGTCCATAAAAATATATGCAATGTCTGCGACAAATATTGATCATGTACATAGAATTTTATTTGTATGTACTGACTTTATTCATTAGTTACTACTGACTCCGTTTCTTTCTTACTACTGACAAAATCTCTTAGTAGGTACTAACAAATTAGTCCCAGAAGGCCTCCATCCTTCTTAAATAACTAGTGACAGATTTGTTAGTGAGGCTAACATACAAAATGTCAATACATTACAGATAGATTTTTATCAGTAAATAATTTTTAAGTAAAAGTACAAACAAAAATGTCAGTACGGCTCTGAGAGTGTACGCTGAAAACTAAGCATATTACGTACGTGTTCATATATGTGTTCCTCAGGATGTAAAACCATCGAAATACGTGTGAAAACGATCATAAGATGTTGAGTGTGCGTTCTCATGCGTTCACATGCAACAGGTATACTCTCAGATTTGTAATCACTTTTTCTCACCAGTTGCTATCAAATATTCACAATTCCACCAAAGTCAATAGCGTATTGACTCTTTGTCAATAGCAAACTGACTTAAAGTCAATATAACGTCCGAAATCTTGCATAGATATTGAGGATATAGTGCTCTTTATTGCTGTGTGTAAAATATTCTTCGACAAAAGATAAAAAGTCAATACCAGTCTGAGAGTGACGGACTTTGCGTACTATGACACAGTAATGAACAAGAAGACCGCACGTAGTTCCTGCCGTTCCTGCATTGTTATCCCAAGTTTTGTAACGAACTCATTTCAAATGCCACCAATGCGATTATGTAAGGCAATCATTTAAGCTTTTTTGGTCTTTGCCAATTGTGTGACACCTTGTAAGTATAACTATACTGGAGTAGGGACTAGGACGGCCCTGGACGCCGACTCGCGACCTGGCGAAGCTAACTCCTCCGCCAATTTGCAATAAATCTGGAATCCGAACTCACCGATGGCTTCCCCAAGGTCCACTACAACTAAACTTCACAACATTTCAAGTTTTGAACACACTCAGTTTGAACAGGGCTCTCGTAAAGTCAGCTACCGTTGAATCTGCCGTCTGGACCCGGGGACGAGCAACCGCCTTGTCTGCGCCGCGTAACGACTCCGCCGAGTTCCGCCGCTTGGAGCGCTAGCGTCGCCCCCGCCCCGGGCCTCTAGTAGAAGCCAAGACACGCAGTGTTTGCATGGTGTTTGTGTACATTTCGCCGGTGTGAGTGACTGAAAATGACGGAAGAAGTAGATGATGAAATGGACGTCAGCTTTGGGGATGAGGAGTTTGGAATAGCAAACTCAACATTTAATTCGGTTGCGCCTGTTGACGATTCGTTCGAATCCTCTTTTGAGGGGGACATAGACGACCCGACAACTTGCATGTCAACACCTGTCAAAGACAAAGAAAAAGGGAAAGGGGGCAGGTTCAAGGTGCCGAAGCCGCCACCAGCCAAATACTTTAAAAAGTGCGGCTCGTGTGGTAGGTACATTTTAACCGAGCGAGGCTGGAAAACTCATGAGCAGACGCATCGCTGGAAAGGTACGACTAACCTTTTATTCTGCACCCTCCTTCCTTCCTTGCACCTGTTGCACAGTAAAGTTTAAACATTGGTTTCTTGCATTTCAGATGCTGCTGCCTTGAAACCGTCTGTACAAGAACTAATTGAAATTTCCCGTGAAAAGGCACCTCAGCTGATTGAGCAAGTCATATCAGAGTTCAATGCATCCGAAGGAGAACCAGGCTTCCAATTAGCTTTGGAAATTCGGTCTGTGCTGGGGGACCTCAAACAGAATATACATGGTTCTGCTTTTCTGACCATCGTTCTCTCCCTCATTCAAGAAGTCCTGTCTTCTAAAGCCAGATCTAAGGCAATGCCATCTGCTCTCCGCCCAGTTCTCCAGACTGAACTCTCCAAGATCTACAGTGACAGTGATAAAAGGAAGAAATTAATGGACACATTCCTAGAAGTCACCACTACCAAAGAGAGCATTGCATGGAATATTATTTTTATTTTCATTAAGAAAGTTATGGACTCGACTTTCATTACCATGTGTGCAAAAATTAGGGGTTCAGACTTGCTGTCAACGAAACATCTTTCCAAAGATGACTTCAACCACCACCTTTCTCAGCAGGTAAGTCAAGAAATAAAAATAAACATTTATTAATCTATCATTGAAAGTATAACTATGCTCTTTTTTTTAATTACAGCTAGTCCATCATGTGTCTGGGTCTTGTTTGCGAGCTCATTTCCGCAATGCATACACTTATCCAAAGAACCGGTACATGAGGAATGTAAGGGACTGCATTCTGGAGAAATTTGGCCAGATTGGACATCCCTCTGTTATGGACAAGAAGAGTCCAAAGTATTGGACATCTCTCTTGAACAAGAAATCCCTTTTCTTTCTACATGAGTCTGCACTGCCCTTCTTCATTGAGCTTTCAAAAATACTTCAAAGTTTGGAGACCCGTCAAGGCACACCACTTCATAAAGATGTAATGGAGGTTGTGGTTTCCAACGCAGCAATGACAACGTTGTGGGATGCCACTGTAGGGAATAGTCTGTCTGATGAAGAGTCATTCAGATTCATGACTCAAGTGATCAAATCTTTGGGAAATCGTTTTGGTAAAGGTGTCATGTTGAGACGGATGAATGCCAAAGCTAAAACGGGAAAGGCCAACAAGACTAGTCTTGCTCCCGGTTTCAGAGCTCGCCTTATTGGTAAGCAGTGATTATGATTGTTTTTTTCACAGTATTCTTATTAGTAATTGATTGCCAAAGTCAGTGAGTATTATTTTATGTGATTACATTTGAACCCATGCAAATGGGACTTGCCATTTCATACTAGTTTTTGTTCATGCATAGGAACAATAGTAATTTAAGACAATATAAATTTTGTTGGTTGGATATGTTTGTTTTCTTTTAGGGGAGTACATTTGATTTATCTGTGGTATCTCTTGAGACTAATTGTAAGTCAGCTGTGATTTTGTGTTCAATATACATGTTAATTGTGTTTGTGTTTCTAGAGTGTCATTTTGTACAGTGATATTGAGCCAAGTATAACATTTTAGTTAATAAAATTGTTAAGAGTACACCAGGCATTTTTTATTTATTATGAATAATATACAATCCAAATTTAAAATCAGTATTTGCATCATATTTACAAGTCTTTCTTTTAAAATACTACACATTTTGTCACAAGTAAAACAATAGATAATAGTCAGCAAAGCTTCAACCTACACACTCATATCACAGTTCACACATAATACATCACAAATCAAATCACCTCTTCCTCTTTCTTTTAGGTAAGGGCTCATCACTAGCCTCCATCATTTTTGAGGCTTCTGAAGTGTTGACTCCCTTACGTTTCACATTCAGGTCTCTGTGAATAGAAATTTTCTTGTCAGCATTAAGAAAAGAAACCACAGTTGGATTACTTTTCCCACCTCCAGCGGCTCGTTGCTTAGAAAAGTACTGTTCTAGAGGGTCTTGGCAAAACACACGAGCATTAATGAACTTTGCACCAATATCCAACATGAACTTCACAGCACCAATAAATGCATTTATAGTAATGTAAATACCCTCTAATGTTTGGTGACTCAGAAGACACTTTGCTTTGGCAGCCTGATTCAATTTCAAATTTCCAACTTCTTTCTCCCAATCCATCAGATATTTTTCGAAAGTTAACAACTCTTCAAACCTCCAGTCTTCAGTGGACGTATAAGGGGACAATCTTGAGTTCGCTGTTCTTTTTCCCATTTCAGAATGAGCACCATTAAGATTATCAAAAAACTTGTCACAATTTAAAATGAAGTTAACTGTTTCCTCTGTACCAGGCCATTTTTTGTCCTTTAAATCCTGACCAACAGTGTTACTCAAAACCTGTACAGCATAATTCACCCTCATGCATGTATAACTATTTAAGTAAACATTTTGTGATGTTAATTTATAAGCACGCCTCAAAGTATTTTGAACTTCACTCAAATACAATCTTTCAATAGTCTTCCACACAATATACTGCTTATTCTTAGTCAGCAAGCGAGTGCACTTCTTACCCTGACCAGACTTGGCAAAACAATTACGAATCGTTTTAATTAGATGAGGAGGGTCAGAAATGAAATATAATTTTCTATCAGGAGCACACATGTTAATTGTGTCAAAAACTAAGTCAGGATGCAACTTAGAAACTGTGGCTGGAGTGTGCATTTGGAAAAATGACCTATTCACAGCATTACCATCAGCCACAACAGCAAGTATTTTAACATTTCTAGTTTCACATGCTGAAATTACTTCCCAAGTACGTTCATACAAATCTTCCTTCTTTAGTGCTTTGACAGGGTATGCTGCAACTAGTTCCTTCACTGAATTACTTACACCTTTTATCATGTAAGCCAAAATACACTTAGCAGTTTCTGGTTGGCTCTTGGAAGTTCCTTGTATCTTTTCTTCAAGTAAGTCCATTTCCTTCTCCACTTCAGTTAATTCACAATAACCCACTAGACTTCCATCAGCCTTCCTGTACACCAACTTCTGAGAGATATAAATTTCATCCATTAGAAGGTTATGGAAATTTTGATGATCTTCTGTATACTCCTTATTTTTTTCATGAATTGTATCTAACTTCTTGTGGAAAACACCGATCTCTCTTGGGACAGCATTCGTGTAGTCAAATAGAGTTCGCTCACCTGGGAGCTTGATGACACCTGATTGACGAATCGCCTCATATCCACTGGCACCAGCAGCACACCTCAGCATTAATGCAAATCGTATCATTGAAGGGTGCCACCTCATAGCCCTAGCGTCACTTAATGTAGAATAATGGAGTTGCTGTTGTAAGAAAAGGCTCTGCATTGGGGTGAGCTCAGCATCCCTCAAAGTCTCCAATAAAGAGTCACTTACATCACTGTCTATGTTCACACCTTCCTGTTCAAGTTGCAGTCTCACTTTCTTGAGATAATCAATCTTAAGCTTAGATTTCTTGATTTCTTCGTGCTGCTTCTTCAGCTTCTTTGCAGCCTGCTGTGGGTCAAGGAAGTCATTTCTAGTGTTGGGGTGGACTTCTTCTTTTTGGTGGCTTTTGAAACGCTCTCGTAGTCTGTCATTAGCTTTCATGCATTCAGGGCATCTCCACTTAGCAACAGGAACGAGGAGAGAACATTTATTACTTCTAAAAGTTTTGACATAACGGGATTCTGCATATGGATTTGTATCCACACACCCAGATGCATCAGCTGCCCACATATCACTCAAGTTTTCATTGTCAGCACCAGCACAGATTTCAGAGCTTCTCACTTTCAAGACGATGGCTAGCAACCTATCAACAAACAGCTTTTGGGACTGAGAGGTGAGCACTATGTTTTCCTTCCATCCGTCAAGGAAGAAATCTTGCAGGTCTCTTGAAATAGGTTTCCTGTGAACAGTTATTCGCACTGCACCGCCAAATGTAACAAACACATTTCGCTGTATTGCTGGGTCTCTTCCAAATGAAAGCTTCACGACATTGAACCCCTCTTGGTCTGCAATTACAATCCAATGCTTGGGAAGCACAGCACGAATCAGCTCCAGTGATTGTTCGAGAAATTTAGCCTTTGATGAAGCAGTATTTTCCTGAAAAATTAGTCAACATTAGATTTCTTTACAGTCAATAATAACACACAAAATCAAGAGAGAAATGAATATTTCAGAACAAACTGAGTACAAACCTCCAGTATTGAATCACTATCAGAAAAGTCCTGCAGTGCGTCCATAAAATCATTGGTGTCATTGCTGTCCGAACATGCAACACTGGGTCCTGGACTGGGCATTGAACCAATACTGATGTCACTGAAGCTGGTGTCATCACTGGGAACGGGGCTGGGAGAAGGACTGAGACTTGGACTTCTCAATTCCCCAACCTATGCACAGGAGAAAAAAAAAGGTACATTATTGTGCTTTAGGGTGCACTGTAGACTGATTCCGAGAGTCGTTTTCGTTGCTCTGTCTCTCTCGCACGCATGCGGACTCCCGTATAGGTGCGAGAGAGACAGAGCGACAAAGACGAAATGGAATCATTCAGCTGGGAAATGACAACAAAGACACTAACCGGTACATCTGGCGTTGTGGGTCGTCCTGCAACATAACCTCGCCCGGCTCCACCGCTGTCCCGATGAAAACGACCGCTTTTGACATGCGTAAAGGAACTCCTCCGGCCTTTCCGCGGCATGTTGACGATGAAACTGAAAAGTCCAGAACGTTTAGGCATCTACTAACCTCCACGCACAGTTGGTTCAGACGAGAAAGCGACAAGTCTGACTCAAGTATAATTGCACTGTACGCGCTCAAACTAACCTTTAACGGCAAGGACACTCATAAATTAAAGGAGTTAACAACTTGACGTGCGACTGACGTGCGACTTGAACAAAGAACGCGAAAGAACGGGAGCGGGAGCGAGCCTTGGTCTTGTCTTGGCGCGTCGTCTTGGCTTCTGCTAGAGGCCCGGGGCGGGGGCGACGCTAGCGCTCCAAGCGGCGGAACTCGGCGGAGTCCTTACGCGGCGCAGACAAGGCGGTTGCTCGTCCCCGGGTCCAGACGGCAGATTCAACGGTAGCTGACTTTACGAGAGCCCTGTTCAAACTGAGTGTGTTCAAAACTTGAAATGTTGTGAAGTTTAGTTGTAGTGGACCTTGGGGAAGCCATCGGTGAGTTCGGATTCCAGATTTATTGCAAATTGGCGGAGGAGTTAGCTTCGCCAGGTCGCGAGTCGGCGTCCAGGGCCGTCCTAGTCCCTACTCCAGTATAGTTATACTTACAAGGTGACACTTCTCACATCAAAAAAATAAGTGAATTGTTACAAAGTAAAATAACACCGTCAAAGAGTGCAGTCCATACCTCGTGATCTAGAATAGTGCCGTCAACTTAAGACATAACCTGTTATTCTTTTTACCACAGCTCTCGTAACTTTCAGTGTACTACTCACACTTTTTCTTGCAGTGTTGTAAACATTAGAGAAACCTTGCCCATCGATTTCTAGTGCATGTATGTCCCACACCAGGACTTGCATTCATTTTCTTCTGAAAGCTTCATTTTCTTTGTTAGTGGTGACCAATCATTTCTGTATTTCAGGGATTCCTCATTCCCAAACTCAAAATGGGTCACGACTGTCCAGTGTGCGGCAAGAAAAATGAGTCCGCGTCCAACCAGGTTGTGCACCTGCGGACCCACACGGGAGAGAAGCCTTTTGAGTGCACGGTTTGCAACAAGAAGTTCAGCCAACGTAGCCAGCTCAAACCGCACCTCCGAATCCATACGGGAGAGAAGCTCTTTGAGTGCATGGTTTGCAGCAAGAGGTTCAGCGAAGGTGGCGACCTCAGAAAGCATCTCCGGACCCACTTAGGAGACAAGCCCTTTCAGTGCACAATTTGCAACAAGAAGTTCATCCAAGGTGGTCATCTCAGAGCGCATCTCCGAACCCACACAGGAGACAAGCCCTTAGAGTGCGCGGTTTGTAACAAGAAGTTCATCCAAAGTGGCGACCTCAGAAAGCATCTCCGGACCCACACAGGGGACAAGCCTTTTGAGTGCACGGTTTGCAACAAGAAGTTCAGCCAAGGTGGCAGCCTCAGAACGCATCTCCGGACCCACACAGGAGACAAGCCCTTTGAGTGCACGGTTTGCAACAAGAAGTTCAGCCAAGGTGGCAGCCTCAGAACGCATCTCCGGACCCACACAGGAGACAAGCCCTTTGAGTGCACGGTTTGCATCAAGAAGTTCACCAGAAGTGACAGCCTCAGAGTGCATCTCCGGATCCACACAGGAGACAAGCGCTTTGAGTGCGCGGTTTGCAGCAAGAGGTTCAGGCAAAACTCTCATCTGAAAAAGCATCTGCGAACCCACACTCAAGGACACGATTTGAACATCCAGTCGGCAAACAGGCGTTAAGTCAAGAGGGCAGCAGTCTCAACTGCGCACTCTCGTTGAGGAAAACCGGCAGGCTGTATTTTTCCGGAAGACGATTACTAAGCGGCAGGCCTAAATGTACCGGTTGAGACTGTTCGCGAGGCGCATAACTAAGATATTTAGTCCGAATTTGTTTAATGTTAGGAAAACTATCCGTGTCTCAATATTTTGTCATTTACAATCTTATAGTTTTTTTCTCATTGTTAGATGTTAAGTGGGAAGTCATTTAAAACAATAGGACTGGGCTCTGGAAGTCTTAGGCTCTCATTTGAAAATGATTTTATTTCCGATTCGAATACATGACAATATGTGAATTTGACTTTCCGTCTCTGAAATATGACGCGTTTGTTTTAAGCACGCTTTCGTTGATCTTTGGAAGATGGCATGGATTGATTGATTCTGGTCAACGATTCATAAGTTTTCTCTCAATTTGACTCTGTTGCACGTTTAATCATGTTACTTGTATGCACCACTGTTTTTGCCTCCATATTGAATTAAAAAGTATTATTGACGTGTCCATTTTTTAGTTAAAGCTACTGTTAAATCTTCAGGGAAAGCCCATTTCTACACTGTCCTAAAAACAAACTCAAGAAGCCGAAAAAGGGGTATTGCTGATCCACCATGAATTATTTGACCAAAATTAAGTTCAAAGTATCGTTTGAAGAGTTTAGGTCCAATTAGGACAAGCCCAAGGAGCAAGCCTCCGAGTTATTTCGTTTGGTTTTCTTGGGCTCTCCGAGTAAAGAGGACCGCAGCGCAAAACAAACCATTTTAGATAATTTTTTGTATTTGCTTTTTATTACTGTCAAATTTAAATTTTGGCGGGTGGCACATCGACCACATTGGTACCACTGCCATTGGTTGGTAGCCACCGCTGAGCCACCCTCCTATCAAATATCCAGTCAAATAAGTACGGATATGAGGCACGATTTAACAGGAGACTCCAGGTCGGCCGCCGGCCGTGCCTCGGCGCGCGGAGCCGATGCAGACCGAAATGAAAATCGTGATTTCTCGAAAACGGCTTGGCCAAAAAATTTCAAACTTGGTACAGAGACTGGCAATAGACCAGGCCCGCCCCCGGTCCGGTCAAATCCGGTCCGACATTGCCTGTTTGCCTACTGGCGTGATCGGCTCGAAAAACGGAGACCGCCGTATCTCGGCTCCTGGGCACGATATCGAAAATCGGGCTTTTCAGCGTTGTAGTCCAACTCGTTCCCTGCCGCCTCTCCAAATTTGAAGTCAAAATCCTGAACGGTGTGGCCGTAATTTGGGAAACGCCGAGACGAAAAACGCGACTTTTCGGCGACTGGCGTGGCGGAGGCAGGCTGGAGGCAGGCAAACAGGCCTGATCAAGGGACCGGCCCCCGAAGTGCCCCCTCCGCACCTCCCCCGCCCCGCCCGCCCTGCACTGCACTGCCAGACTGCCATTGTAATGCGCCCGGCCGTCTGGGGCTCGCGCCTGCCTGGCTGCCGGGGTGCATCCACGCTACCTGCTCTAGCAGTGTCTCCGTCGCACTTGCAGTGACAGACGGCACAGACGAAGAAAGTAGCTGTCGACGTCTGGGATGGCTATGCGGACGCCACCTCTGGCTCCGGCGAGGAGGCGCGGTGCGGTCCCAGCCGATTCCGAGCCAGCCGGCGGCAAGGCAGAAAAGTTCATCAGAAACTGGCTCAAAATGACACGTTTTTCAACATTGGTACCAATATGCGTTTCGAAGCGCGCTGATCAATTCTATACCCATGAAAATTGTTCAATGATTTATTGTCTAAATTGTGCTAGCAATTTCTCGTTTACACGCAATTTCCTAGTTTTTCGAGCTGATTCCGCCACTATCCGTAAAATATCAACTTTCCGAAAATTTCAAAATTTTACTTCCGCTCCTAGTCTTTTTTGTTTGGCCTGAATGGGGCTGGGTTGGGCTGGGCAGGCGGGGCCACATGCCTGGCTCCGACCCTCGAGCAGGTATATTGCCATCGCCAAACAAAAGAGACTAGGAGCGGAAGTAAAATTTTGAAATTTTCGGAAAGTTGATATTTTACGGATAGTGGCGGAATCAGCTCAAAAAACTAGGAAATTGCGTGTAAACGAGAAATTGCTAGCACAATTTAGACAAGAAATCATTGAACAATTTTCATGGGTATAGAACTGATCAGCGCGCTTCGAAACGCATATTGGTACAAATGTTGAAAAACGTGCCATTTTCAGCCAATTTCTGATAAACTTTTCTGCCTTGCCGCCGGCTGGCTCGGAATCGGCTGGGACCGCACCGCGCCTCCTCGCCGAAGCCAAAGGTGGCGTCCGCATAGCCATCCCAGACGTCGACAGCTACTTTCTTCGTCTGTGCCGTCTGTCACTGCAAGTGCGACGGAGACACTGCTAGAGCAGGTAGCGTGGATGCACCCCGGCAGCCAGGCAGGCGCGAGCCCCAGACGGCCGGGCGCATTACAATGGCAGTCTGGCAGTGCAGTGCAGGGCGGGCGGGGCGGGGGAGGTGCGGAGGGGGCACTTCGGGGGCCGGTCCCTTGATCAGGCCTGTTTGCCTGCCTCCAGCCTGCCTCCGCCACGCCAGTCGCCGAAAAGTCGCGTTTTTCGTCTCGGCGTTTCCCAAATTACGGCCACACCGTTCAAGATTTTGTCTTGAAATTTGGAGAGGCGGCAGGGAACGAGTTGGACTACAACGCTGAAAAGCCCGATTTTCGATATCGTGCCCAGGAGCCGAGATACGGCGGTCTCCGTTTTTCGAGCCGATCACGCCAGTAGGCAAACAGGCAATGTCGGACCGGATTTGACCGGACCGGGGGCGGGCCTGGTCTATTGCCAGTCTCTGTACCAAGTTTGAAATTTTTTGGCCAAGCCGTTTTCGAGAAATCGCGATTTTCATTTCGGTCTGCATCGGCTCCGCGCGCCGAGGCACGGCCGGCGGCCGACCTGGAGTCTCCTGTTAAAGCCCTACAAAATAACATGGTGTCACTGCGCGCACGATTTGAGTCAAATTTTTAACTTCTTTTCGAATCACACTAAAAATTTCGTCTTGATACGCACACATACAGCACTTATCTGTGTACGAAGTACACACATACTCGTCTGTACTCAGAACGGACAGGTCATCTGAACGGCCAAATGCATCTGAAAGCATAAAATTGCCCACGAAATGGATCTCTGGCTTCATATTTTGCTTTGAGACGGCTCAAGGTACTTGATCTCAGTAGTACTATAGTCGTTTGATTGCAGTTGGAAGAAGTTGTAACAGAAATGTCAACACGAAATGTTATGAGGAATTTTGTCCTCAACCTGACATTGTTTTGTGCGAATGAATTTTTCGTACATATGATGTGCGAAGAACAGCACACAATTTTCTATTTTAGTGCAAAGTAGCGTACAATTGTTTACCACTAGTTCAGTTGCACAAAAACTGTGTTGTCTCGTACGACATTTGTACGAAAACATTGACGGCGCAGATATCATCCCTGACCTTAATTCGACATAAATATGTTAAACCTAATGAACTTTTAAAATTCCACGTTCAGTTGTCATCTGCCAGCTCAGATTAAAGTAAAGCGTAGTATGACGCCTTTCGTGAAGCGCACAGTCTGTATACCAAAAACATAACTGTCTACTTAGTACAACGCGTGCTTGGCAAGTGCACACTCACCAACGCATGCATGGCGACGTATTACTCCATGCAAAGCATATATGCTATAGGCATTTCTAAGTGTCTCCTTGCCAAGCAGCCAAGTGTGTACTTGACCAAGAATGCATTAGTAAGTGTGTACTTGAAAGCATGCATTTTTAACTATGTACCAAGTAGACAGTTAGGTTGCTAGTTTCCGCCCTACTTGAAGCGCACAAGAGCTCAAGAGCTCATCCGCTTCTTTCCTCCTATCTAAATGCACGGGGAATAATCTTGAAGCGTAGTTGTGCGCTTGAATGACGCGTTAACTACGCTGTAGTCTTGCCAGAGGGAAACCCTAGAATCAAATATTCACTGCCGAAAACGTCGGACATCCCATCACAACTGCAGTAGGCGGTCGTTTCCGGTTACATCTGACTTTTGATTTTGTTCTTCACATTTCAGGTTCAAGACGCCTCTGAATTATCGCATCTGCCAGTCGGTTATCCAGTATTGAAGCGGAACTTTAAACCGGAAGTTGAGGCTGCGAGTCATCAGGTGAGCCCAAGCCAAGCCAGTCCGACATCGGCGTGACCGGACAACCAATTTAAACTTCCGTTTTTGATCCTCCAGACTTCCATCTTCAACATTGCCGACGCTGTCCCGGAGCACCGTTCGCAGTCCGGCGTGGACGGAGTATCCAGCCGGTTCCGCCAAGGCGTGGTCTGCCGCAACTCACCGTCGTTTCTCGCAGTGAGAGGGATTCGGTCATTCTGCCAGTGTGTCGGCGATCTTGACGAAAACAGACCTGAGGGGTAAGTGACACCGCATCTACAGTTTGCTTCTGTTTTCACGATCTGCTGTTTGAATCGAATAGAATGCTCTGCACAAGCTCAAAACGTAACGAGGTGTTTCGGACATATGTAGATGATTTCCATTGTTTGACGAAAGGCCCAAACCTGTACGTAACAAAATCTGGTCCCAAATCAGTCTTCTGTACCTGCCAATTACGGAACATCTGTCTCTTTTTCCATAACCGTTTTCATGCGTATGCAGCAAGTATACTCTCAGACTCGTATTGACTTTTTTCTCTCCATGATTGACTTTTTATTCTTTGCTTCCGTAGTTTTTGAAGCAGCAATAATATGTAGTATTTCCTTTGTAACCATGTACAATATTGTCCGCTACAAAGTCTAATTTGTCATCAACTTCAGACTTTTTTTTAAGTCAATAGGGTACTACGTAGGAAATGCAGACCGGAAGTCATCAACAGAACGAGAAACAAACTAACCTCGCGAGGCCGCGCCGAGCGGTGTTCGGGGCTGGGATGGGCAGAGTGGGGTCAGCTTGCGCGCGCCGCCTGCAACCCCACTCCGACAATTTCGACCTTCCGACCCCCACCACCGCTCAGCACGGCCGCGCAACGCTCTTTTGTTTGTCCCGTCTCGTCCTGTTCGTTCGCTGACTTCCGGTTGATGTGTTCTCCGAAGTACCCTACTGCGTACTGACTGACTCTTTGCCAATGGCAAACTGAATTGAAATCAACATAACGAACAATATGTTGCATAAATATTGAGGAAATAGTACTTACTTTTTATTGACCTGGAAAATACTCTTCGACAGAAGATAAAAAGTCTATGAAAGTCTGAGGGTGACGGACTTTGCGTATTTTGACTAATTTATGAAAGAAGACCGCACGTAGTTCCTGCACTGTTATCTCAAGTTTTGTATTGCACTCATTTCAAATGCCACAAATGCTAAAAGTAGCCTTTCAGTCACTGCCTATTTTGTGACACTTCTCACAACAGAAAAATTAGTGAATTGTTACAAAGTGAAATGAAATCGGCATGAAAAGTGCAGTCCAGGCCTGTCATGCTCTACAAGTGCCGTCATACTTAAGACATAACCTGTTGTTCTTTTTACCACAGTTTTCGTAACTTTCGGTGAAGTACTCACACTTTTTCTTGCAGTGTTGTGTAAACATTTGACAAACCTTGCCCATCGATTTCTAACGCATGCATGTCCCACACCAGGACTTGTATTCATTTTCCTCTGAACACGGTAAAAACGGTTCCTCGTTTTCCCAGGAATTCCCTGGAAATAGCTTTTACGTTCACCATCGACTTCATGGAAAAACCAGTTTTCGTTTTTACCGTGAAGGCTATTCTTTCTATGTTAGTCGTGACCAATTATTTCTGTATTTCAGGGATTCCTTACTCCCAAACTCATAATGGGTCACGACTGTCCAGTGTGCGGCAAGAAGAATGAGTCCGCGTCCAAGCTGACTGTGCACCTGCGGACCCACACGGGAGAGAAGCCATTTGAGTGCACGGTTTGCAACAAGAAGTTCAGCCAACGTAGCAACCTCACAACGCACGTCAGGATCCACACAGGAGAGAAGCCATTGGAGTGCACGGTTTGCAACAAGAAATTCAGCGAAGGTGGCAGCCTCAGAAAGCATCTCCGGACCCACACAGGAGACAAGCCCTTTGAGTGCACGGTTTGCAACAAGAAATTCAGCCAAGGTAGTAGCCTCAGAAAGCATTTCCGGACCCTCACAGGGGACAAGCCTTTTGAGTGCACGGTCTGCAACAAGAAGTTCACTGAAAGTGGCAGCCTCAGAAATCATCTCCGGACCCACACAGGGGACAAGCCTTTTGAGTGCACGGTTTGCAACAAGAAGTTCATCGATAGTGTCAAGCTCAGAGTACACCTCCGGACCCACACAGGGGACAAGCCCTTTGAGTGCACGGTCTGCAACAAGAAGTTCACCACAAGTGGCAGCCTCAGAATGCATCTTCGGACCCACACAGGAGAAAGGCCCTTTCAGTGTACACTGTAAAAAAAAATTTATAGTCAAATTCCTATACATGTATATGAAGCCATTTACATATACACGTATAGGAATTTTACCATGCACTCGTATGGTAATTTTCCTATACATCGGTACGGCATTATGACCATACGTGTATAGGCGTTCTCCCATCCGTTGTGTAGGATTTTTCCTATACATCGGAAATGCGCAACTGCAATGCATGTATAGGATTTCCACCAAAATGTGTAAATTAGGCAGGCCAAACTGGGTGAACTGTCAGATAATAACGGCTGCATTTTCCGCCTTAAAAGATAATCGAATATGGGTTACTAGTGATCCTTCATCCCGGTCTTCCACATTGGCAAAGTCCAACTACACCACTTGAACATCCAAGGTGAAAGGAACACCTCAGCAAAAATGAACACGGAAAAAAATAATTAGCTGCACAGGTAAAAGTTAGCTGTACAGCTAAAAACATTCGCTTTCTGAGAGATAAGTAATTCCTTCGCTGTACAGCTAAATTTATTAGCTGGACCGAATTAGCTGTGCAGCTAAGCCATGTTAGCACTAGAGATTCACAAAATTTATCTGCTCGGGGCAACTGACCCGATCAACCGACATCTAAGCCTTTTGACTAATGTTGTTATTGTTCGATGGATATCTACCGGACTCGAACCCGAGTCTGCCGATTGAGAGGCGCGCACGTTACCACTACGCCATCACGCCATCTCCTCGACGTCCGGTCTTCTACCTTGAGACTATCCTCGCCGCTTAGCCACCTCGGTAGCTAACGAAATTTAGCAGGATGGCTAAGTCTACTCGGCTAAACTGCAAACTGCTTTGCTAAAATGCTTTGCAGAGCAGCTAAATAAAATTAGCGGGACCGCTAAATATTAGCTGCAACGATAAAACTTTTAGCGGTGCAGCTAAATCTGTCTAGCTAGTGAATATTAGCTAGGTTAGCTAAGTAATTTTTTTCCGTGAAGTAAGAGCTGAAATGACTTCAACTTCTTTACAACATAATGGGACGCGAGCCCGCTGACCCAACCTAATTCCTAGCCGCAGCGTACACCGAGAAGTAAGTCCGTCAAAACGACACTAGCGCCATCTAGCGGATAATACGAACAGCGGGCAAACAAGCAGCTTTTGTTTATTTTGTACGTTGTTCACAAATAATCGTATTGATCACCAGTGTTTAATCAAATTACAACGATTTGAATCGCTGTTAATAAGGTTGATGGAAAACTCTGTTTTTCAGTTGGCCATATTCCTATACACGGGCTGCAAAATACTATACATGTATAGGAATTATTCAAATTCCGATACATGTATAGGAATACTCCTAAACATTTTCAGTCCGTATAGCAAAAAACCTATACAAATCGGAATATTCCTATACATGTGTCGGAATTTCAGAAATTCCTATACATGTATAGGAATTTTCCTAGACTACTGTATGGTAAAATTCCGAACATTTTTTACAGTGTACGGTTTGCAACAAGAAGTTCACTGAAAGTGGCAGCCTCAGAAATCATCTCCGGACCCACACAGGGGACAACCCTATTGAGTGCACGGTTTGCAACAAGAAGTTCATCCAAGGTGGCAGCCTAAGAGTTCATCTCCGGATCCACACAGGAGACAAGCGCTTTGGGTGCGCGGTTTGCAGCAAGAGGTTCAGACAAAAGTCTCATCTGAAAACGCACCTGCGAACCCACACTCAAGGACACGATTTGAACTCCCAGTTGGCAAATGGGAGTTAAGTCAAGATGGCAGCAGTGTCAACTGGGCACTCTCGTTGAGGAAAAACGGCAAGCTGTATTTTTCCGGAAGACGATTACTAAGCGACAGGCCTAGGTGTAACGGTTGAGACTGTTCGCGAGGCGCATAACTAAGATATTTAGTCCGAATTTGTTTAATGTTAGGAAAACTATCCGTGTCTCTATATTTTGTCATTTACAAGATTCTTGTTTTTTTTCTCTTTGTTGGACGTTAAGTGGGAAGTCATTAAGAACAATGGGACTGGGCTCTGGAAGTCTTAGGCCCTCATTTGATTACGATTATATTTCCGATTCGAATACATGACAATATGGGAATTTGACTTTCCGTCTCTGAAATATGACTCGTTTGTTTTAAGGACGCTTCCGTTGATCTTTGGAAGATGGCATGGATTGATTGATTCTGGTCAACTTTTCATAAGCCTTCTCTCAATTTGACTCTGTTGCACGTTTAATGATGTTACTTGTATGCACCACTGTTTTTGCCTCCATATTGAATTAAAAAGTATTATTGACGTGTCCATTTTTTAGTTAAAGCTACTGTTATATCTTCAGAGCAAGCCCATTTCTACACCGTCCCAAAAACAAACTCAAGAAGCCGAAAAAGGGGTTTTGCTGATCCATCATGAATTATTTGACCAAAATTAAGTTCAAAGTATCGTTTGAAGAGTTTGGGTCCAATTAGGACAAGCCCAAGGAGCAAGCCTCCGAGTTATTTCGTTTGGTTTTCTTGGGCTCTCGGAGTAAAGAGGACCGTAGCGCAAAACAAACCATTTTAGATAATTTTTTGTATTTCCCGGAAATTTGTTTCTTATTACTGTCAAATTTAAATTTTGACGGGTGGCATACATCGACCACATTGGTACCACTGCCAATGGTTGGTAGCCACCGCTGAGCCACCCTCCTATCAAATATCCAGTCAAATAAGTACGGATATGAGGCACGATTTAAAGCCCTACAAAATAACATGGTGTCACTGCGCGCACGATTTGAGTCAAATTTTTAACTTCTTTTCGAATCACACTAAAAATTTCGTCTTGATACGCACACATACAGCACTTATCTGTGTACGAAGTACACACATACTCGTCTGTACTCAGAACGGACAGGTCATCTGAACGGCCAAATGCATCTGAAAGCATAAAATTGCCCACGAAATGGATCTCTGGCTTCATATTTTGCTTTGAGACGGCTCAAGGTACTTGATCTCAGAAGTACTATCGTCGTTTGATTGCAGTTGGAAGAAGTTGTAACAGAAATGTCAACACGAAATGTTATGAGGAATTTTGTCCTCAACATCACATTGTTTTGTGCGAATGAATTTTTCGTACAAATTTCGTGCGAAGAACAGCACACAGTTTTCTATTTTAGTGCAAAGTAGCGTACAACTGTGTACCACTAATTCAGTTGCACAAAAACCGAGGGCCCCATCACTTCCCAAAATTTTGTACAGTGATTGGAGATGAAATTGATTGCACTGATTGGAAGTGATTGGAATTGATTGTAATTGATTGGAAATTGATTGGTCCAACAAATAAAAAAGATTGGGGGAAAAAATTTTATACAGGAAGCAGATGAAGGGAAAAACTCGATTTTGACCATTTCTTAGGCGAAAAAAATGTTAGGAACAACTTAAACTAAACAAAGTAATTTTCAGATGAAAACAAGTTCAAGAAGCGTAAGTTAAATTTTGAGATGGACATCAGGAGTGTCAGGTACTGCAAATGGAATTTCTGTGACTGAAAATAGAGTAATCTCAACTTATAGTGGAATTTTGAGACATGGTAAGTGGAACTATGGTGAGGTGAGCAGAAAGTGTTGGTTCCTCTGGTGCATTTATTGGACTTAGCTCTTCTTTCCGTTTAAATTCTTAAAATGAAAGGGGGTCAGGTGGCCTTGATTCTAGCTTTTAACAGTCGATACATAAAAATACAGGTTGATATATCTCCTCACTGAGAAAACCTAACAAACTATTTTGGGCCTTACAAAGAAAAGTAGTTTGTATGACTAAGTATTTTGAGCATACGTAAGCTTACAAAGAAAATAATTCGTAATTTACGGACTATTTCGTCGTATAACAAAGTATTTTAGTTTGTTATATGTATGCTGAAAATACTTCGTAAGGTTTAAAGAGTGCTATCAAAAATATGTTCAACGGAGCATTTTGACTTTGGTTAAGTTGATTCCATTTTCCGCTAAATTGAGAGTGTCAAAGGGTCAAGTTGAATTATCTTGTTTTTGAAATGGATTTT